AGTGGAACCCTCACGACATAACTGTGACCCATTAGGCCTCACTCCAACACTGTCACACTGGGGACTATGTTTCCAGTATATGTATTTTGGGGAACACATTCAAATGCATGTCCTTCCAGCATACATTACTCTATTCCAATAGCCCCAAACTTAATGTACATCAGTATATAAATCTCAAGTTCAGAGTCTCATTTTAAATCACACCTAGGTGAGGCTAAAGGCACAATTCATCCCCAGGTGATACCTTTAAATGCAAATTATCTACTTCCAAAACATAATGGTGAGACCAGCAAGTTCAAAATTCTAAACGAACATTAAATACTGGTTTTCTTTTTTGTTTTGTAATGCTGTGTTGTGAACCCAGGGCCTTGTGCTTGCTAGGCAAGCATTCTAGCACTTAAGCCATTCCTCCAGCCTTTTTTGCTTTATTTTTCAGATAGGGTCTCATGCTCTCCTACTGTAATCTTCCTACCTACGCTTCCCTTGTAGCTAGGATCACAAGTGTGATCCTATTGATTGAGACTGGGAATCTCACTAACTTATTGCCAGGGCTGTCCATGAACCTCCATCTCCTCAATCTCTGCCTCCTGAATAGCTAGGTGTGAGCCATCATTAAAACCTAAACCTCCACAGTACTCTCTGAATGCATGTGGCACATCCTAGTCATGTGAGATAGATTGGACCCCAGAAGTGCCACATAGGTCTGCTTCTAAGATTTTGCTGAGCCCAGGTCAGCAGCTCTCCCAAGCTATTACAGTTCTAGGGAACTCTAAGATGGTCTCAATGCCATGGCTACAGTAGACACTGCTATAGTTGAGGGCTCCCTGTGGCAGTTTTGCCCCTCTAATTATTCTCTTCCTGGTCCTCTAGGATCCCAAGCACATCTTTGAAATCTAAGTGGAGACCATTATGGCCCCACGTTCTACAAATCTGTAGAGTCAACCCTAGGTGAACACCTCCATGACTTACCACTTGTGCCCTACAGGGCTAGAAATATGGCAAGAGCCACATCTAGGCCCACTTAAGTAATGCCTGTGGTGGCCCAGGAGTACTGCATCAGAAAGTGGAAGCCAGAGTCCCAAGGGTGGCTCTGGGCAGCAAATGCTGAGATTCTGAAGGCGTATTTCAGAAGAACGTCTCATCAGTCCTAGATTACCTTCAAGATCTCTGAATGGTTGGGCACCGGTGGCTTACACCTGTAATCCTAGCTACTCAGGAGGCTGAGATCTGAGGATCATGGTTCAAAGCCAGTCCAGGCAGGAAAGTCCGTGAGACTCTTATCTCCAATAAACCACTAGAAAACCAGAAGTGGTGCTGTGGCTCAAGTGGTAGAGTGCTCGCCTTGAGCTGAAGAGCTGAGGGACAGCGCCCAGGCCCAGAGTTCAAGCCCCACAACAGACCAAATCAAAAAACAAAAAAAGATCTCTGAAATGCCTCTAGGGTCATTCTGCCAATGTCTTCAAGAATACATCTCTATGGTCCAGGCTGGCCTTGAACTCTTGAACTTCCTGTCTCAGCTCTTAAATTCTGGGATTACAGTTATGTACCAGTATGTCTGATTATACCAGCATATTGAACAAAACTACTTAAGCAACCTGTAAGACGTTCCACATTTTCCATATAGTATTTTTCTTCTGGGCCATTCACCAGAATTGCTTTTCACACTCCTTCCAATCACAACAATCATAGGCTTTTTCTAACCTGCTCATCCAAATTCTTCTAGTTTCTCCAAATTCTTACCTATTTCTTGTGTTAGTCTGTTTTGTGCTGCCATCACAGAATTATCAGAAACAGGGAACCATAAAGATCAGAGATTTATTAATGCAGTTAACAGGACAAGTTGTCTAAGACTGAAGGGGTCACATCTGTTCAGGGCCCTCTCTCTGAGTCATAAGATGGTGGAAGGTATCACATGGCAGTGGGGAAAGAGATTAAACTCACAGCCTTAAGTTTCTTTTGTTTGCTGATTTTAGTTTCTTCAATACTGGGGTTTTTGAAGTCAGGGTTTTGAGCAAGGACTCATGCTTTATGTACTTGAGCTTTTTACATAGTCTTATGCTTTTGCCCCAGCCAGCTTCTGACACATAATCCTCCTTTGCCTCCCATGTAGCTGACATTACAGGTGTATACCACCATGCCTGGCCCTTGAAGCTCTTTTATGGTAGTCATTAATCCATTCATGAGGATGTATCCCTTCTGACTTAAAAGATCTCTCTTTATGTCCCACCTTCCAATACTTTGTATTGTGGATTAAATTTCCAATATATACTTTGAGAATATTCAAACCATAGCAACTAATTTCAGCGGTCAATTTGATTAAAAAATGACCACTTTTTGATATAAGGATAGCAGGCCCCTTTAGTCTCAATGTCTTATGGTGTTTAAATAGTGAAGAGGAAATAAATTTTAAAAATACCTAAATAGAAGAGAAAATCTCCAAATGCAGGAAATCATATATTCTGTAGAAAAACAAGGATTTCTCTCCAGAACGCTCCATGCCACATGCTAATTTCTTTTCAAAAGCCAAGACTTATTGGCAAATAATCTGGAAGTCTAGAAGAAGAGAAATCTTTCGATTCAAGATTCAGAGCTGCTCTATAGAAAAGGAAGTGTGGGAAGGCTTGTTATCATTTATTTCCTCCAGTATATCATTCAATTTCAGCTGTCTCACATCTTCGGAGTAGCTCCCCCATTTCTCACTTATGTGCCTAAGAAACCTCTCCCTGGCATCTCATTCTCTCTCTGTGTCTTTCACCAGCATTTCATTATTTCTTAACTGTCCCTCTCCTGCTTGTCTCCCTTTCTCCTAGTGCTCCACGTGTCCTCATTTAGCCATTTTCAGAAGCCAGGGAGAAACGTTGCAAATAATGTTAAATATGATTAATATCTTGAATTCCTTGAAATATGACATGCATGAGTTACAATGAAACCTCTTTTATTTCCCCATGAAATGCTTTTGCATAATGAGAAAGAAAATGTCCTCTATGCCCTAATCAGCCCTGACAGTTCCTGGACTCCCAAATACTTTTTATTTATGGCATTATTTATTTCATCTTTAATAAAGGGAGGGGGTGTGTAGCACCCTCTGAGGAGCCTGCAGCAGAGAGGGAGACAGTCTGGGGTGGAGGAACACAGAAGCTGAACCAGCAAAGAACAGAGAGAAGTCATCCAAAGGAAGGGAGACTCCCTGTGAAATGTGAGGCCAAAGCCTCAGACCCCAGAAGAATAATGGGTCACTTTCCCAACACTAAAAGGAAAGCTCAGCAGAGGAAACTTCAGAGTAATCACTGCTTTACATGAAGGAGCACCCATGACTGTAATCTGTATTACCAGAATGAAGGCTGGAAACTAAACCTTGGAGCAGGTATTGGTGTTGGCGCAGTGGAAGGTTACTTTGAGATAGGGAGGCATGGACTCTACTGTAGAGGGGCTGAGAGAAGCTAGGACCTTCTTCTGTATTTGAAGATATTTGTGCCACCTGAGGCCAGGGTGGGGGCTCCTCCAAACCATTGAGATCTTATTCTTACAACCATTGAAATTGAGTGCTCTCCAACCTGCTGCTGTCACCAGCTTCAGTGACTATGGGTAATTCAGAGTTAAAGAGGTTTTAGGCCACCTTGGCACTCCCAGAGTACACGTATATGTATGTATATTAAACAATGTTGTGGTAAGAACTCACTATCCCAATGCCAGCGGTCGGTCGTTTATTTTTATGTTAATATTCCCTTCCATTGTATAGTCTACTTACTATAAGCAGAAAGGACTTGGGTCAGGCTTGGTAGTGCGTGCTTGTAATCCCAGACTTAAGACGAGACTGAGGCAGGACAAGCTGGAAACCAGTGTGGGCTACAAGGCAGGACAGTCCGATGGCTGGTGCGATCGAAGCCAGTGTGGGCTACAGGAAAAGCTGCAGTCTCAAAAGGCACCCCTCCCCTCTGCCCAGAAATAATAATAATAATAATAATAATGATAATAAAGGTCTGCACCGGCTGTGTGGCTGAACCATGCTCTCCTCCGCGTCTGACATGGGCCTGCACGTCAGGGAAATGGGTACAAATGCAGGCTCTCTCCGGGGCTCCGTCTGGGGAACGAAGGAATCAATGTGTAAATACGGTGTCCTGCGCGCCCCTGAGATCTGCTTACGCGCGGGCCGGGGCCGGGGTCGGAGGGCACGGGGCGCCCCCCCCCCCCGCCCCGGACGGCGCGAACTCCAAGCCTCGACGTGGACCGAGTTCTCTGACATTCTCTTCCGAATGTTGGGGAGCACTTTTCCTTCTGGAAGAACTCCCCGCACCTTCCACCCGGACGCTCGCGCGACCCCGCCCTAATTGCCAGGACCCACCCCCACCCCCCACCCCTGCGTGCAACTCCCGGAGTGAGAGGTCACGCCGGGGGGGGGGCGCCTCCCGCCCATTTCCGTAGCTCGAACCCCGCCGGCGGCCGCAGACGCCTCGAGTCTACCTCTGGGTCTCCCAAGTCTCGCCCTCACCGGGACCCGGGTCCCCAGCTCTTTTCACCTGTTACCAGGACGCCCTCCAGGTCTCGTCCCCCCCTCCCCGCCCCCAGACGTCCCCTTTTCCCTCCAGCCCTCCCCCTCTCTCCCTACCCCCTCCACCCCGGCCGCGGCTCGGGGCGCCCGGGCCCGCTCGGCCCGCGGCGGCGCCAGGCCCCGCCCCCGCCCCCATCATCATTAGCAGATATTACCCTAAACACTTGCTCTTTACCTCCGTTCTCCCTGCAGGCATTGGCGCGGCGGCCTGTCAATCAGCGCTCGGGCGGCAGCCCCCCGCGCGGGGGCTCGGAGATGCCAGGCTCGGCGACAGGCGGCGGCGGCGGCGGCCACGGCGCAGACACACACCCTCCCACTCGCGCGCTCGAGAGCGGAGCCGGCGGGCGGGCGGCCGAGGCGCCCTCGGAGCCCAGCGCCAGGCTGGGAGGAGGAGGCGGAGGAGGAGGCGGAGGAGGAGACGCGCGACGGGGACCCGGCCCGGAGGCGCGGAATGGAGGAGGAGATGCAGCCGGCGGAGGAGGGGCCCAGCGTCCCCAAAATCTACAAGCAGCGCAGCCCCTACAGCGTCCTGAAGACGTTCCCCAGCAAGCGCCCGGCGCTGGCCAAGCGCTACGACCGACCCACCCTGGTGGAGCTGCCGCCGGGGCGGCCGCCGCCCCCGCCGCCCTTCGCGCCCCACGCCGCCGTCTCCATCAGCAGCAGCGAGCCGCCGCCGCTGCCGCCGCCGCCGCCGCTGCCGCCGCCGCCGCCGCCGCCGCCGCCGTTCCCGACGCAGACTTCCTACCCGCCCGCGGCCGGCCGGGCCGCCGCCGCCGCCGCCTCCTCGTCGTCGCCTTCCTGCGCGCCCGCCGCGTCCCAGGGCCACCTGAGGACTCCGGCGCCGCCGCCGCCGCTGCCGCCGGCCCCGGCCCCGGCCCCCGCCGCCTCCTCGTCGTCCTCCTTCGCCGCCGTCGTCAGGTACGGCCCCGGCCCACCGGGGGCCGCGGGCGGCAGCCTCGCGGCTAGCGACAGCGTCAGTCTGGAACTCAGCGCAGGTACCAACTCCGGGGCGCAACTTTCCCTTCCCGCCACGGCGGGGTGCGGGAGGGATCCGGGCGAGGGGGGGGGCGCGACACCCCGCGTGCGCCCGGGCAGGGGAAATCGAAGGGGAGGGCCGCGGGAGCGGGCGCTGCGCCCAGCCGGTAGGGTGGGGGGGGAGAGCAGTCCGGGAGGCCTCCCTCCGTTCCCGCGCCCCGCCCGCAGCAACTTCTGGAAGATTCCCCGGCGCCTCCAGGTTCCCGGCTTCCGACGGCGCGCGCCCGCGCGCTCCTAACAGGTGGCTCCTTTCGAGGTGCGGCGGCGGCGGGTGGGTGGCTGGGGTCCCCCCGACCCGAGGGGACGGGGAGAGGGGGCGGATGCCCCGAGGTGACAGCCGCGACCGACGGCGGTGAGGGACAGTCCAGGGGCGGCTGGCTGCGAGGGGACGGGGCGCTGGGGCGCTTCAGCCTCGGATGCCCCACTTCTCCCAACACTTCTATCCGCCCCCCCTCCTGCCCACGTTTGTTTTTCCTTCTCTCCAGTTCTGTCTATCGCTGTGTCTCGCTCTGTCTCGGTCGCCTGGTCTTTTCCTCCATCTCTTGGACGCGATCACTCCAAGAGCACTCCAGCTCCCAGTAAGCCCTTTCTCGGCGGGTCTCGGCCCCCTGGCCGCGTCCACGCCCAAAGTCCCAGCCCCGGCCGGCCCAGACAGGTAGCTCCTCCGCCCGGTGCGCTGGACGCTGCCCTCGGGCGCTCGAAGCGTAGGGCTGGGGTCTGCGGGCGGCAGTCTCCCCTCTCCTCCCCGGCACCCCCAGCGCCATCCCCACTGGGACGCTGGTCGCCTTGCCGCGGTGTCCTGTTCCTCCCGAGCTTCCCCCCCCCCCGCCCCTCCGCGTTGTAGATGTGTCTCTTGGAAGGGGGGGGGGGTAAGCGCACGCGCCCCGGGGGGGTCTCAAGACGCTTCTGGATCGGGAATCTGCGAGCAGACCCCGGGGAAGGCCGGCGCACTGCAGAACTGTTGGGAGGGACGCGGCTTGGTGGAGAGGCCGTTGCTTGAGGCCTGCACCCAAGGGCGAGCCCCGCTCCCTGAGGACCCACAGGCCGGTTCATTAGCTTGTGTGAACTAAAGTTCCTTCTCACTGCGCTTTTTAAAGTTTTCTAAATTCTGCCTATTAGTAAACGGGAGTGGTTTTTTTTCTCCCTCTTTTCCCTAGTGAAAATAGCAGCGCTTTGTCTCTCAATGAGTTATAGATGAGCTAAACGTTCAACTGTTTGTCAATATTTTGACACGTGAGGGATTGGTTTTGAGTAAGAAAAATCTAATTACAGGTTATCAGGGATGTTCTGTCACATCCCTCACAGATTTGGAGACGTGTGAAGGTTTTGAGTGGGAATCTTGCATTCTTGGGGGGGGCTCCCCCCACCTCCAGTTGCAGTTGGCCCAATGTTCCATTGTGTTTTATATTCATTGTTAGCTGCTTGCCTGCTTGCATTTCCCTCATTTTTCTTCTTTGAGGTTCATGTACCCTCTGGAGATTGGGATCTTATTCATGCGCGTTTATTTCCCTGTTCTGGCATATCCTTTTTTATGTTGTTTCTTTTGCAGTTTGGGTCCATTTTCCATCTTGTTTATTCTTTGCTTAACCTTGGTTCCACCATGTCCACTGGGGATTCGCCCCCCCCCCCCCCTTTACAAAAGAGCTTGGTTCAGCTTTTCATCTCCTTGTAGTCATCCTTTCAGGCTTTGCTCACTATCTTCCAATCTTTTACTTCCCTTTATACATTGCAAATCTGCCTCCTCTCATTCCTGTTTTTATCTATAGCTTAACCTTGTTTTTCCTGGACATGTCCATATTGTAGGTTTCTTTGTGCTGCAGACACTTGCCATCTTCCCATAGTTCCTCTGGCTCTGAAAGTTTCTCTGCTATTTTCCCCTCATGTGGTGGGATTTTGTTTTGTGGCCCCAACCCTCTTTCTCATTCTGTTTGTTTTGTCACTGACCTCTGGTAGACATGAACATTGTTCACTATAAAGGTGTGAAGGAGCTTTTTGGATGCCCTTCGAACTTCCCTGTTTTAAAGACTACTTTTTAAATATTTATTTATTTAGGCAGTCCTGGGGTTGAACTCAACCTTCTGAAGTGCTAGGGAGAGTAGATAGCACAGAGACTGGCTGACTGCCTACTACTTGTTAGAAAGATGAGAAATGGAATGTAGATTACTTCCACGAATTGAGTAAAATATTACAGAGGCAAAAGATGGAAAAGGCCATAGAACTATAAAATCACAGATTGTGGTCATTTTACTCATCAGTGGACAAAGCCATCTCAACAGGCACAGAGATGTGAGTGGCCATCAGAAGGACAGCACCTAGATCGCTGATTGGTTCTTGGAGGAACTAATGGTACCACTTTGAACCAATAAGCTCATGTACACACCAGGGCCATTTAAACACATGGGGTGGGGCCTGCTGGTGGGAGCTTTGCCTGTTGAACCCTCAGAACAATGTGATATCTGACTGCAGTATTGCATACCACCTAGTAAACTGAAAATTGTAAAACTTCAATATGATCACTTGAGTCCGGATAGGAGAAGCAAAGCTGACTGTCCAAGGTAAATGCAGTGAAAAGATGAAAGGGTTGAAGTGAATTTTATTTGCTATTAAGTGCCATAAGCCATTGAGAAGAGAAACATGATTAAAAATAGATTTTTTCAACAATCTTATAAAATCTTATGAAGAGTATAATTTTCCTTAAAAGGGGTAATACACCATGGTTTTAAAAGCATATTTTTCCTCAGTGGGAGGCTTAGAGTTAAAACCCACGTAGATCTTGATATGCAGCCTAAATTTGGCATCAGGAAATGGGAAATTGCATCTTTAAGCAGAGTACAATCAAAAATGAATTACAATAAATCCTATATAATTGCATAGGTCATTCTCTTTAATGAGATTTTATTAACCTGACTGTCAAGCTTTTGAGTCAGGCAGATATTTTATCTTCTTCAACTGATAAAAGTGTCAGCTATAAACCACCATATAAATATTCATAAATCTACACATCTGTGGCAGCCTATCAGCATCATTCTTTTGGACATTAAAAGCATTCTAATTACTTTCTGTCTAGCAGAGCTGAAATGCTGCCTGTTATAGTATGTGCTTGGCAGGCATGATTGCTTTTGTTTGCCATCACAAATAGCAGTATCCTATTTTATATACCGATGGTCCAGAAAATATTCAGGGATTGACTGAGCAGGATGAATATTAGGAAGCACCATCTGGTTTTGATAGCACCGAGTATATTAACTCATCTGTTAATTTTTGACACATCATTGATTTATTTATTTAGAAAAATTGCATGCTGTTTTGCTGTGTTGATGTTGTCATTATGAAAAAAAATTGGATGGCATTTTTCTTAAAAAAAAAAAAAAAAGACATTGTTCAAAGGGTGATGCTTTCATTTCCGAACTTTTATTTTCTATTCCAAGAACTCCTCTCTTAAAAAGACGTGAATTTAGTATTTTAAGGAAATCATCTATTTTGAACTACTTGAAAGCTTTTATGGAAGATATATGAATATATGACAGGCCCCTAAAAATTTTCTGCTTCTCCATTTTTAATATTAATGTATTTCACCCTTCAGTGGTCTAAAATCAAAAGGTTACCACTAATCTTGACTACTGTGATCTCCCCCATAGAAACAGGATTCTCCCAGGGATCTTCTGTGCTGGCACATTCTGTGCAGTCTTTCCTTACAAACAGGGCATTAAAGTAGGGAGGCTGCGTGATTGTCTACTTCCCCTCCCTTCTCTTAGTCACTTATCAGATTTAGGATGGATTAAACATTTAAATGCAGAAGAATTTCTAGGAATGAAATTTTTAATTAAAAAATAAAGGCATGACTTGAGATTTTTTTGAATCAGACCAAGCATCATTTGCAGTATGATACTGTCTCCCAAAAGGCTGTACAATAAAGCAAAATGAACGAGAAGCGGTCATTTTTAAAGTGCTTTGTGGTTGCGATTTATTACTATTTTTCAAGTATTTCCTTTTAGTGAAGTTGGGATAAAGCAGGCAGTTTTAAAGCCCCTTTGTATGCTGTTGACTCGGATTCTCTGCCATCTTTGACTAGAACAACAAAGTTGAAAAAAATCAAAATACTTGTTCATACTATGCTCAGTTAAGACTCATGATCAAAGCCAGGCACTGGTGGCTTACACTTGTAATCCTAGCTACTCAGGAAGCTGAGATCTGAGGTTCAAGGTTCAAAGCCAGCCTGGGCAAGGAAAGTCCCTGAGGCTCTGATTAACCACCAGAAAACCAGAAGTGGTGCTATGGCTCAAGTGGTAGAGTGCTAGCCATGAGCTGAAGAGCTCAGGGACAGGGCCAAGGCCCAGAGTTCAAGCCCCAGGATCAACAAAAAAAGAAAAGCAAAAAGAAGAATCATAATCAAAGCGGATGGTGGTGACTCACGCCAGTACTCCCAGCTACTCAGGAGTCTGAAATCTGAGGATGGAAATTTGAAGCCAGTCTGGGCGGAAAAGTCCCCATAAGATTCTTATCTCCACTTACATACTCAAAAACTAGAAGTGAGGCTGTGGCACAAAATGGTAGAGTGCTAGCCCTGAGCACAAAGCGTCTCAGGGACAGTGCCCAGGCCCTGAGTTCAAGACCTACAACCAATCAAAACAGAAAAATCAATGATCAACAGACATTCCATTGTGTTGGTATGACAACTATAAACTTATAATGGGCATCACACTGCACTTACATGTCTAATTACATTCATCTAGAAAGCTTAAGTATCACTATTTGCAATATAAAGTGGAGAGAGTTGCTGTTTCTTCCACCAAATGTAGTAGTCATATTTTTCAAAACCTTGCTTATTAGTGTAAAATCATACTGTTAAGATAAATTAATGTAATGAAAAAGGAAAAATTTAACTTGAAATGTCTTACTGGTTTTTTTTTTGGGGGGGGGGTCCGGTTTTGGGGCCCAAACTCTGGGCTTGGGCGCTGTCCCTTAGCTCTTCAGCTCAAGGCTAGCGCTCTACCACTTGAGCCACAGTGCCACTTCCAGCTTTTTTTCTTTTTGCTTATGTGGTGCTGAGGAATCGAACCCAGGGCCTCATGCATACATGCCAAGCGCTCTACCACTGAGCCATCTTCCCAGCCCCCTTACCAGTTTTTCTATACCAGAGAATGAATGTAGAATGAAGCCTTTCCAAAACTGCAGGCAAGAACTATTTTGATTGTAACTCTTTTCTGATATTGAGTGTACTTTAATAGATTATCTTCATAATGTAGTATATTACATAATGATTTTTTTCTCAGCATGTTATGAGTTTATCCTTCAATTAAGAAAACAAATCACACTTGTCCCTAAGTCAGTTTTTTTCCCCTTAAAAATCTATGTTATAATGTGATTCATCAATATGATTAAAACTACTGAGTGTTTTGTAGGACATTGGACAGATATATTTGAGCAGCCTCTTGTTAAGCAATACTGTTTCAGCCTATCCTTGTATATTTGTCCCTTTTATCAAGGTTATGTTAAAGGTGTATAGACGGAAATCAATTGGGACAAGGCTGATTAAAATGCAAACAGTAAATACAACTTCAGGTCTAGAATGGGATTATAGGATTAAAATGAATGAAAACTGCTGTTGTGCTAGAATTGAACATTCCCAATCAATATCATTCTTTGATTTTACTAATAAAAGAACAAAAACCAGGAAGTAAAATAATGAGAGTGGAACATCTTAAGCCTTCACTTTCTTATTTAAATAGTTAGGTCATTGTAAAGAAATGGCATCCAAAGTATTTATGAGACTTAGGACAGAAATGTAAAGCAGGCCCGTGTAACATGTATGAAGTAATTGAAAAGTTTGAGTGAAGCTAATCTGCTGTAAAGTAAAATACATTTCATTTATTCACTTGCATTGACAGATATCTTTCATAATGACCAGACTTGCCTTTGGGGATTTTCAGACAAACGCATGGTCTTCTCTTTCTACTCTGCCTCATCTTCCATCCTGAGGAGAGACTTCACATACGTAGAAATGCCCAGTGTATATATTTTGAGCTCTGGTACCATGGTCTATCTGGATGGATAGCTCAAGAAAGAGGCCAGCATTAACCCCTTAAAGTTTATGTAGGGAATTTGTAGATCTTGAGGATTTTGCTATAGGCTGGAAGAGGAGGGTCAGTCAGGCTTGGGAAAGTAAGGAAGTACTATCCCAAGGGTGGTGTCTGCCATCTTAAGGTGGACCTGCCATCCCACCCCAGGCAAATAAGTTTGGAAATACTATGAACCAAGGTCTCTGTGTTACTGATAAGAACCCCTCCCTCATATCCAGTCCGTTTTTTGTTGTTGTTTTTGTCGGTCGTGGGGCTTGAGCTCTGGGCCTTAGCCCTGTCCCTGAGCTCTTCAGCTCAATGCAAGCACTCTACCACTTGAGCCACAGTGCCACTTCCAGTTTTCTGTTGGTTAATTGGAGATCAGAGTCTTATGGACTTTTCTGCCCAGGCTGCCTTTGAACTGTGCTCCTCAGATCTCAGCCTCCTGAGTAACTAGGATTACAGGTGTGAGCCACCGGTGCCTGGCCCAGTCAGTATTTTTGAGGCCCTTCCTCCTCAGTGTAGTCTAATCACTTGGATGGAAGAGATCTGGTCTCTAAGTTGGGAAAAGTCTGGGATGGTATCATCATACAGATTGGGGAGAAGTAAGGGGTACAAAGCATTATCCTATGGACTTTCTAAATATCCTTTGAGTCAGTGGATTGAAACTAAGGCCTAGCATGTACACTGCTGCTGATCTGTATCTCTGCCCTTTTTTGAAAGATTTTTTTTTGAGACAAAATGTTTTGCTAGTTTCTAGACTTGGATTCAAAATCCTCTTTTCTCAGTCTCTTAGGTAGCTAAGATTACAGGACTGTGTCTCCACGTCTGGCTGTATTATTACTGTTACTCTTTTGATGGCACTGGAGTTTTAACACAAGCCCTTTTTGCTTCAGGTTATTTTTTCAGATAGGAAGGCCCCTTCACTGAGATCATCCTACCTGTCCTTATCACATAGCTGAGCTGACAGATATGCATTATGACACTTGGCCTATTTGTTGGACCTAGCTAACTTTTTACCTAGGCTCGCCTGAAACTATGATCATCCTAGTCTCAAACTCCTGGGCCTGCAGCTGGGATTATAGGTATTAGCCACAACTTCCAGCTTTTTTGTTTGTTTGTTTCTGCTTCTTATGTTCCTTCCCTGTTCCTTTTCCTTTCTCCCTCCCTCCCTTTTTCCTTTCCCTCCCCATGTGCCTCAGTTTCCCAAGTATACCTACAGGTGCACACTACAGTGCCTGTTTAACACAGAGGCCTCTTAAAGTGTTGTATCTATGGCTGCATGTCTTATATCTTGTAGAGGGTTTATTACAATCTTTCCAGCCTCATGGAGGCCCTTAAGCTTCTCATCATGTTTTACCTTAAAAGTTTCTTTTTCTTCCAGAAAAAAAGTGCAGCTAGTTAGCATTTTCAGGGACAGCCAGTGGCTAGCTGTATTTCTATCATAGAATTATTGGCATCTGCAGTGTCCAGTATTTTTTGTTGTTGTTGCCAATTTTTTTTTGGGTGGGGGGTAAGCAGAGGGGAAATAAGAGACATCCTCTTACCACTATGTAAGTCCTGCAAAGTATCACTTCATTTATAATAGCCCATTGTAGAGTGTAGCAAGGAAGAAGAGAAGCTGCCTTATGACACATTCAGGCTGTTTTTCAAGAACCTTAGGCTGACAGCAGTAACATTTTTCACAAATTGGGAGGGCTTTTTTTCTTTATTTTTGCTTGGGTTTTCGGTTTGCTTTCTGCTTTTCACTGCTTGTTAGATGCTTTAGAATTCATGAATGTGGGCTACTTGATGCCGTATTAGGAGATCTGACAGTCTGATGGAAGTGTCTCTGAGAAGAGGCACGAGTGATTTTTCAAATGATGCTGATTGAGGGCAGCATAAGCATTAACCTTGACGAATCCAAGTTAGCAGGTAAATTAAAAAGCAGCACAGTGAACACATTTGTTAGATAAACCACAGTTTTGTGCTCATCCTTTGCTTATAGACACACTCTTTGTTTTACCTGAGATTTCTAGTGAGCTCTACAAAAAGACTTATCTCTCTTCTCCACTTTGCATCTGGAGCTGCATTCTTCGACAGGGATTGTATCAGCTGATTAATAGCAAGGGCATGAGGGCACTCCAGAAATAGAAGTAATGATTGCTGTAAGCCCTCCTATCAATGAAGAATTGAGTATCAGTGGCCAGCTCAATTCATTAGAGTAAAGATATTAATGAAACCAAAGGTATGCAATTAGATCTGTGCAGACCAATGAATGCTACAGAGAGGAAAATCTCCATGGGGCCTAGGATCAAAGCCCAGTTCATTCTTAGAAGAAAGGGTGGGATCCCTCATCAGGCTTTTCAGGAATCTGTGTCTTGTTAATAGGGGATTCGTTTCCTTGATTTATGACAGAAGCTAGAAATGCCTATTTTTTAAAATATGGTTGAACATCAAGTCAAAATTGAGGACTTTGCGTCTTCCTTGCCTTTGGCTGTCAGCCACTGATGTTTCTTTTTATTTCTTTTCAGAGAGTCGTATGATCTTGGATGCTTTTGCCCAGCAATGCAGTCGTGTTCTTAGTCTCTTAAATTGTGGAGGAAAACTTCTGGACTCCAACCATTCTCAATCTATGATTTCTTGCATAAAGCAAGAAGGCTCTAGTTACAATGACAGACAAGAACCATGTCACATTGGGAAAGGGGTCCACAGCCAGACCTCAGACAATGTCGACATAGAGATGCAATATATGCAAAGGAAACAACAAACTTCTGCCTTTTTGAGAGTTTTTACCGACTCCCTCCAAAATTACCTACTCTCGGGGAGCTTCCCGACTCCAAACACATCATCGGTGAGTGAGTATAGCCACCTGGCCGATGTGGATCCTCTTTCAACCTCCCCTGTGCATACACTAGGTGGTTGGACTTCTCCAGCAACATCTGAATCTCATGGTCACCCATCCTCTTCTACCCTGCCCGAGGAGGAAGAAGAGGAGGAAGAGGAAGGCTACTGTCCTCGATGCCAAGAGCTGGAGCAGGAGGTTATTTCACTGCAGCAGGAAAATGAAGAGCTCAGAAGGAAACTAGAGAGCATCCCAGGTATGCTGCCATATTACTTGCAGGACATTGCAACTCTTTTCATTGGTCTTGGTTATTAATCTGTAAGCATAGATGTTGTATGTAACTTATTTATTCTTGCCAGCAGTTTAGAAAATTTGGAAAAATAGACTTGCCAAGGCTTCCTTAGCCTGCCCATGACAAATAATTTTGGGATGAGGCACTTCAACATGTCTTAATCTGAAGAGTGAAAACACTTTTCATTCAAGGTTTCTGCTTTTCCTCTTGAGCCACACCTCTGCTTCCGGATTTTTGATGGTAAATTGGAGATGAGAATTTTATAGACTTTCCTGCTCTGGCTAGCTTCAAAGTAGGGTATGCAGATCTTAGCATCTGAGTAGCTAGGATTATAGGTGTGAGCCACCAGTGGCCAAGTATGTGTTACTGTATTAGATCATCACAGTGCATATAAAAAAGTGTTAAAAAGATAAAATTTCTTTCAAAAGAAATGGAATTAAGTTAAAGGAAAAAAGTCACAAAAGGAAATGCTATTTGGTTTAGCTATAGGAAGTACTGAGCGAGAATTTATTGGAATGAAACAAACAGTGGAATTTCTCGGTAAAGTAAGGTCGTCTCAACTCTCTAAGCACAATCACTGAGAAAGGTGGATATAAGATCCTGTACTTCATCTCATTTAGGATGCCATTGGATATGAGATCAATCTTATGATCAGTTGCCTGATGAGAATCAATCTTTATGCTCCACTAAAAATAGAAAAAAGAACACTGTTAAATCTTAATTGTACATTATAATTCTCTTAAGACACAATGTCTATAGACAGCAAAACCTATGGGCCTATGATCATAAGATGTGGTAAATAAAATTCCTTGAAATTCATTAAGTGCCAAATACGGGGAAGATTAAGTTGTTTGTTGATTTATTTTTGCTAGTACCAGGGCTTGAACTCAGGGTCTCTTGGCTTTTTTTTTTCTTTTTTTTCAAGGTATACATTTTAATCAAACATCTCTCCCATTGATACATTTCAAGTTTTTAAGAGGTGACCAGGCCAGACCCTTTGCTGCTTTTGCTTTGTTTTTTCCCTCTCCTTTCTCTCACTTTGCCTTCAGCCGTTTTCTTTGCCTCTGGTTCATCCATACTGGGTACTGTCTATGCTGGTCTAAAAGAGTTTTTTGTTTCTCTTAATTTCAGTCTCCATCTTTGTGTCATCATTTTCATCCTTCTCCACACAACCCATTTTCTCCTGGCAATGTTTGGGTGCCACCACGTTGGTATTTCTTCAACATCTTTCATGAAAATATCACTATTGACTTTGAGAATACTTCTAAAGTCTGTTGAGTTCCTTTGGGGCATTCTTCTTTGTCTTCTCAGCACGCATTTTCCTTTTCTACTTACTCTGTAAACTTTTAGACATGCTTCACCAGAGGCTACACCGCACTGACCACGAGCAACACTCCACTGACAGGCAACACGCCGACCGGAAGCGTACGCTCCCGGCTTCCCTTGGCTTTTTCACTCACAGCTGGTGCTCTACTACTTGAGCTATGCCTCCAGGTCCAGCATTTTACTTGTTAATTAGAGATAGAGTCTCATGGACTTTCCTGCCTGGGCACAATCCTCCAAGACTCAGCCTACTGAGTAGCTAGGATTTATAGATGTGAATTACCAGTTCCTGGCTTATTACTGATTTAAAAAATTTTTAAATTTGTGTGTGTGTGTATGTATGTGTATGTGTGCATGCAGGTACGCTAGTACTAGGGCTTGAACGCAGGGCCTGGGTGTTGTCCCTGAGCTTTGTTGCTCAAGATTGGCACTCTGCTACTTGAGTTACACCTCTCCTTCCTGCTTTTTGATGGGTAATTGGATATAAGAGTTTCATAGCTTTGCTGCCTGGGCTGGCTGTGAACTGTGACCCTCAGATTTCAGCCTCCTGAGTAACTGGGATTACAAATAGGATCCTCCAGCACCTGGCTTTATTTTTTTAATCAAATTTTTATTTTGTGTATGTAATTATGTGACATAGTATTATGGGATACAGGTACAAAGGCTACTATAGTGAAAAAATTAACACCCACCTCAGTTACCCTTTTATGGTATTTTTTTGGTAAGAGCAGCTAAATTCTACAGACTAGAAAACTAACCTTGGATTATGTAATAATGATCCTGTTAGTACACTGTTGTTATTTTCCAAGTGAAAAGATTAAAAATTTATAGATCAATAATGTCAGGTTTTAGATAAAGGAATTTTACAAGAACAAAAGGTCCTTCTAGTGGCTGCAGACTTGTGCTGTTTGCTAGCTGTGGCTTTTGGCAAATCATTTACATTCTGAGTCTCAGTTTCCTCTTTCATTAAGCAAGCTTAACCGTTCTGAAAGTACTAATTCAGTAAGTAGTGGGTACCTGGCTCTTCCAGTGAGCAAATGTCAACTTGAAGTAAGAGTTGTCAGGTGCATGCCTACAATGTCAACACTGGGAAGCCTGAGCCAGGAGGATCCTGAGCTCCAGGTCAGGCTGGGCTTCTTAGCACCCTGTCTTAACCCAAAGAGAAAAGAAAAAGAGGGAGATCATTCTGTGCTTTTAAGTACTTTTCCTGGGTTAAAAGTCACTGTTCTGACCTTTTAAAGAGGCCATGTTTATTAGGGGTCTTCAGTCCACTGTATTTTGTCTCTTCCCACTTTCAGTCATTTGCCATTCTTGGATTCCACTTCTCATGGATCTGTGGGTTTGGACCCTCCTCCTTTTCCCTCTGCCTTCATTGAGGCCCATCTCATAACTGATCCTTGCAAGGGTCTCACTGCTCCTTTCCCAAATTCCCAGCGGTTCTGCTTTAGCAGCCCCAAGGTCCCAACTGGCAGAAAACCATAAGGACTAGACATACTCTGTGGAGCAAATTCTAGAACCCCCAGGATGACCCTTGAGGCCCTTTAGTTCCAAGGTCATTGTTTTTAGAAATACAACCCTCACTGCCTATCAGTTACCCAGCATTCCAGTTTACTGGACAATTTATGGCTCTGGCAGCCAGATAATTCTATACCTCTAGTCTTCTTTTTTTTTTTTTTGGTCAGTTGTGGGGCCTGAACTCTGGTCCTGGGTGCTGTCCCTCAGCTCTTCAGCTCAAGGCTAGCACTCTACCACTTGAGCTACAGTGCCACTTCCGGCTTTTTCTCTTATGTGGTGCTGAGGAATCGAACCCAGGGTCTCATGCGTGCAAGGCAAGCACTCTACCACTGAGCCACCTTCCCAGCCCACCTCTAGTCTTCTTTATTCCTGCTAATCTTCCTAATGCAGTTGAGAAATTCCTGGGTATCCTGAATACACAGATGCTCTCCTGTGTAATAGACCCTTCCCCCAGCTCCAAGGCAAAGTTAAGGACTTTCTGTAGTTCACAGTACATACTTGTTAGGTTGTCATAAAGGGAGTGTTTGCTTTGTGTGTTTCTCTTGATGCCCTGATAAGAGAGGCTAGTCATGTGAGGTCCTTAAGGGTAGAGATTTAGCCTCTCTTGGTTGAATTCTCATATTCTAGCCCACTGTCTGGCATACCATTGCAACTGTACACATTAATTGAACTGAAACAGGATGTTGTCATTATCAAAAATACAACTTCATTTTTTCTTTTTTTCTTCTATTTTTTTTATTGTGAAAATACTGTACTGAGGGGTTACAATTACATGGGCAAGGTAATGAGTACATTTCTTATCAAGCATTGTTGCCTCCTCCTATACTTCCCCTTCCCACCCCCCCCACCCCCATCCCCATCCCCACATTACCGACCCCTGCCAAAATTGTAAGGTTCGTTTTTCAACATAAGACTTGTACATTTCATTGTTGCAGTGGGTCCACCTGTATCCCTATTTAAACAATTTGTTTTTTCCCTTCCCCTCCACAAATTAGACCAACATCAAATACAGTGAAAACAGGGGTTATACCATGGGGGAGGGACATACAAAGCAACAAAGAAATCATTTTATAAATACGTTAGAAACAATTGCAAGAAAGAAAAAAACATTTGAATCCTTATCTTGGGGTTCATTTCGCCTAACATCACAACTGCATTTTTAAGCTGAGCATTACTTGTGGCGGATCATCTATTTCTAGAATGTTTTTAGAATGTTATATGCTATAGAAACAATGTGAGGAGGACCCTTAACAATGATTAAGTATACAGATTGTCAAGAGGACAGTAAGAAATGTCAGCTTCCCAATAAATTTGTATGTGACATATTTTGAAAAGTTTTAAGCCTTCCAAAAATATGTTTTGCAAAGTATGTTAAATAATGCTTTAGGAAAGTCTAGAGAAACATAGTAGCTGAGAAGAGAAGTGAAGAGAAAGTTGGGAGGCTGAGGAGGATTGAACGTTCACTACCAGCCTGGGGTGCATAATCAGACCTTGTCTCAAAAAAAATTAGGAATTAGAAACACATTCTTTTCTTTTTTCTTTTCTTTTGTCCATTGTGGGGCCTGAACTCTGGGCTTGTGCTGGCCCTCAGCTCTTCAGCTCAAGGCTAGCACTCTACCATGTGAGCCACAGCGCCACTTCTGGCTTTTTCTGTTTATGTGGTGCTGAGGAATCGAACCCAAGGCCTCAGGCATGCGAGGCAAGCACTCTACCACTGAGCCACCTTCCCAGCCCCACACATTCATTCTTTTTCTTTTCTTTTCTTCTGGTTTTTTTTTTAAATTTTTTTTTTATTGTGAAAGTACTGTGCAGAGGGGTTACAATCACATGAGCAAGGTAATGAGTACATTTCTTATCAAGCATTGTTGCCTCCTCTTTTGTTTTTCTCCTACCATCCCTTCCCTCCCATCTCTACAATTACATTCCACCCCCCTCCACACACACATACACACATTCATTCTTAATGTGAGCAAAACCAGAATTGGAGTAGTTGCTTTGGAAAAGAACTTTAACACTAATAGCTTCTTGGATAGGAAGCAGGAAGTCAGCATTAAGGGAGCCTCTGAAGAATAAACTAGTCTCTTATCTTAAATTATTGGTATTTGGCAGTAGGCACTATTAGGTAC